CGGAAGTGAAACATTTTAAATAATCTTCAACAAAATCTAACACACCTTGTATCTTAATGAGAAGCAATATCGAACAACTGAATTCGCTAGTGAGTTACTTCAGTTTTCATTCAATCAACAATATCAATCAATCCCTTTCTTTGTGATCAAAAACAAGCTGTCAATTGTTTTCCAAAAGGGGTATAACACAAAATTCAAAGAATTCATATCTCGAACAAAGATGATTATCAAGAATCAAAATACGTTTTCGAAACCTACAATAGACTATAACTATAATGTCTCATCAAAATATAACTTGTTGGTTTTGGAATAGTGCTCGAATTTTTTTTCCGAAAAATGAATTTTTTGGCCGTGCCTCGTATACACCCTGATTCACTATAGTTTATGTGATCATAACTAGACATGTATTCGAGTTCCGATCAACACATTTTCTAGCTTATTTTGGCTTATTTATACTAAAGAAACCCTTTTTTTCTTCGTCAATCCTACCCCGATACGACGTTTTCACGAACTTTGTCGGCTTATATCTCTGAAACTAAACATACAAAACTTTTCAAACTCACATATTTTGCTAATGAGCCATCCCACAATAACATAGTGAAATTTCAGCCAATTCGACGAGCCAATTTACCGTGTTTTCGTGCGGGGTCCTTTGCCATCCAACTGGATACAGCCTAACGCAGCACATTTTACCATTGTGGTATTAAGATTAAGTACTAATTGAAATTTTTAATGTGACGTGACAGCAATTTCATGTCAGGGTCGCCAATACACAAAACCAAAGTCACTAGATCATCAAAAGAGAAAAGAGCTATGATCTGTCCGTACCCTGTTAAGATGACAAATACGTCAATTTACATCAAGGGACGAAAATTGGACACTTTCAGTCAATTTATATCAAGAGACAAAAATTGGACATTTTCAAATAGAAAATAGACGAAACCTGATTGCAGTGCCTGAGCATATCTAAACTTAATAGTTTCAGAGTTATTTGGTGTATTTTCCAAAATTTGTTGTGCCTAATTTTTTTTCTGCCAAATATTCTGTTCGTATGAAAACATGTTCAAAGCATTTCATGCCAAAAGTTCTAGTCTTTGAATAACATGAGTTTTCATCACTACCCTATTGACTTTGACAGACACCGGTAGGAACATTTGTAATATCTATTCCACTGCATCTTCCAAAGCCTACTTGTTCAAGGTGTGCGCTGCAAATCAGAATCTGGACCACACAAAAATTTGGTCAGATTGTTCGCCCTGTCACTTTTTCAAATCTTGTCCGATTTTGGTGAAATTTCGACCAAATCATATATTCATGTTTCGGAATGTTCGCCTGAATATTAGTTCCTAAAAAAAGTTTCCCTTTCATCCCTAACTTCTTGACGTTCCCGTGGCAAAGGCGAGTGGTTGAACTTAGCTTCATTATGGTTTGGATTTAAGTGTGATCCCTCCTTAACACAATGCTGTTTGATTCACGTCAATAACCACTTTTTAAGAGAAGATGCAAGTGTTTTAAGAAATCATGGATTTTTTCAAAATTTTTATTAACAATAACTCAGAACCGTTCCCCAATCTTCTGCTTCATCATGTTTTCAATTGAAATTTGATCCTTTTTCATTCTGCATTCAACTGCCGTGGCATTGAGTTGATAAAATGTCTCAAGTAATTTTGAAGAATGGCCTCGAATCCTCCTAGATGGACGACTCGTAGCTCTTGAATTTATACAAACCTATAGATTTATTAGATCTGGCATCACTATATAAACTTAAAATATGTTGTTTTATTCAATTTGTCCTATATAAATTGAAAATTTCGAATTTAAATTTCAATGAAATCAATTCATCAGATAATCATGGAACAAGACAATCAAATTTACTGATAGCAAATACGTTCAAGTCAAATATCGGCAAACAATCCATTTTTCACACAGGAATCGTTCTATACAACTCAATACCAAGTCAATTGAGGAATATACAGGAAGCAACTAGATTCAAAATCAACTTGAAAAAATATCTGCTTCAGAGACTTTGATAATTCCATTTCTTATTTGAATACCTACTTATAAAAGACAAGGTTGATATTGCATTATTATTTGTATTTTTTTTTACTTGTTATATCTTATTATAATTTCATAATTGTATGTATAACATTATGTATATTGTTCCTATTGTATCCCTATTATAAACAACTATGTTTCTTGGGGTAATAAAGACGATCAGTCAATATGACAAGGCCGGACAACGACTAATGAGATTTTCTATAGGTTCTGAATTATTGTTAATAAAAATTTCAAAATTCCATACTTCCTTAAAACACTTGTATCATCTCTTAAAAAGGGGATATTGACATGAAACTAGAACCATTGTGTTAAGCAGGGATCACACTTCAATCCAAAGCACGATGAAGCCAAGTTCAACCACTGAATTTTGCCACAGATCGTTAAGAAGTAAAGGGTGAAAGAGTTACTTTGGTTTTCCATGTATAATAATCAAGTCACAAGTAACATTCTGGAACATAAATCCTACGATTTGATCGAAATTTCACAAAAATCGGACAAGGATTGAAAAAGTCACAGGGTGAAAATTCAGGCAATAGAAATGCTGTGTTCGTCATGAAAATTAAAATTGACCTTCTCGCACCGACAATAGTTTTCCTCTTTCTAGTTTGAAAATACGACTTTTCTATCAAAAGTGTTCAATTTGGGCCACCCTATACAACATACAGTGTCTCGTCTTGTGGAGCAAAATTACCTCTCATAGACCTAAAATCTCACCAACGACATATTCTCACATTTATTGTGATCATCAGGCAAAATCACATTTTCATTGAAAATTAAAAACGTATACTAGAAATTGATTATATATAGAACGTCAGAAACTCTCTCGACATATCTACATGCATACATACACAATAAATATTCGAAGTTATTTATACCAGGACGAAAAATAAAACGTCGGGTTCAATAATTGTAAATAAATGTCAAGCGCAAAATACGAAATCTTTTTGTTCTTTCTATAGAGCTGCGCCTACTGGTATAAATCACCATGTGTGTATTTTACAAAATCAAAAAAGGCTATCAATTATTTCACTAATGTTTTGTAAATATTTAAGCAGAAAATCATTATTCCTGCTTGCTACTAGGGGCGAAGAAGTATTCTTCTCTCATCATCGAACATGTTGTTTGATATATCATTGCAAACAATAAGAAAAATACTCTCTACAAATACAAAAATCCAATATGACACCCATAAGAGAAACCAAATTTGAGTGTTGTAACTCTACAATCAAAAACGCCTTGGCAAATATGGTAATAGATTCAGATTCCTTGTAAAGTGCCTCAAGAACATTCTAGTAAAAAACCTCTTGGTAGAGCTCGAAAAGAAGACATTCTGTATATTGGTAATAGATATCTCACTAGTTCTGCAATGTCATTCACGATTTATAGATCATGAAAATTTTTGCAAACCTACGGAAATCAGTGAGATCGCTGACATTGCGATTGTTTTATATTATCTGAATAAGTCGGTTCAACATATCATTCCCATGCTTGGCAATTTTTTTTCATTTTCTGGTTTTACACTTCCTCGTAATGACAGGTTTGGAATAAGTCAAACAATGTTGGACTCCTTGAATTGATTCAGTAAAAGATTAAAATGGTATTAATCTTCTCCTGAAGATGCTAACATAGTTAGCGAAACACGTGTCGAGGCATTTTAAAAATCGGTTTGGTTAGTGGTAAAACAGTGTAGTGTATTATCGTGCGTAAAGGTTCTGGTCTTCGATATATCGTTTCTACCTCATTAGTGTTGAATTATTGACTGCAATCATCATGTTCACAAAATGAATTTTGTTAGATATCTTGAAACCCAAGAAAAGTTATAAAAACACTGGAGTTAGAAAAAAGTGAGATGATTGATTTTTTCTTCCTTCAAAATATAGAAATTGGCTAGTGCCGTTCTCCAAAAAATGTTATATTCATTTTTTTTTTCAAAGAAAATGTGAAATACCTATAACTCTATTACTTACTTACTATAGTAAATTGCCCTACGAATTTCATAGCAGTACCTTTAAAGGATTCCAAAAAAATCTGTAAATAAAATTGTTCTTCATCGCCCTTTCACGGCACAACGGTGCATTTTCGTATAGAAGTCAGCAGACCGAGAGCGGCTGATGAGACCTGGTGGGTCGAAACAGTACTGTCTCGCTCCTGCTGACAATTGGGGCAACTCTGTTCATCCTAGATCTCTTAGTTATGAGATCTAGCAGTTGAATAGGTGGTGGAAAATTCCACTCAAGTATGTCAGGTAGTGTCATCTGTCAGCAGAGTGGTTTACTTGTAGTACCACTCTGTACCGTATAGACGTAGGGGTCTGTACGTGTGACTATAGATGGCAGCGCCATACAGTGTGTGTCGCGATTTCTGTATCCTACCTTAGAGCTTTATTGCCACTAGATGGCTACAACATGACTATAACTTCATGTTATACCCTGAGAAGTAAGTTGATTTAAATGTGCCTAATTTGATCTCTAGTATACCCTGTAGAATTTATAGTACGTTGTTTTGGGACACCTTGGATATTTGGAATCAGTAGAGAGCTTTACTGTTTAGGAAAATGAAATAGAGGGTGTTCCATTTAAAAAATACCAGTTTATGTAAAATTTTTGGGTTTAAGATGCCTTTTTGCATTTCTTAGTACCTACTGAATTCTTAAAGCCTATAAGAAATACTTTATTTTTAATTTCTTCAAACCAATATTAAATAAGATAGTTATTGAGTGAGATATAAACAATGTTAACTACATTGTTTGACGGAACAACACTATTTCTGGGTCATGAAGAAAAAACTTCAACAAAACTTGTTTCTGGCAACTGCCAACACCGATTGTTAGTTTATGAATTTTTCTTCACTGGGCCAGTCTACATCGTCGCCCCTAGCACACTTCCAAAACTCCCAACCAGACTCCCTCCCTAGTACGTAACTTACAAAATAAACCGCCATCATCATCTCCCCATTATATCTGCTATAGTGAATCCAGTCTTCCTACTAGCCGGCGGCGGCTGTGGCGGCGGCGGACTCGCCTCCCTCCCTCTATTCCCCCTCTCGCCCCTACTCAAATCCGTCACGTGACACACCTCCCCGCTCTCCCCGCCCCCCTTCGACTGCCCCGCCTGCCCGAACATCGCTTCGGGCGGCTTGCCGAGCCCGACGAACGGCGCGCGCATCACTTGGGCGGCCGCCGTGTGTGTGTGGGCAGGCACAGCCAGCGCGTGGGCACTCACACTCTGTGTGTGGGCAGGCACAGCCAGCGCGTGGGCACTCACAGTCTGTGTGTGGGCAGGCAGCGCGTGCGCGGTAGGCGCGTGACTCCTGCCCGGGTCGTACGAGAACTTGAAGCGGTCCTGGTCGAAAGCGCGCTTCCTGAATACGCTCAAAGATGCTGGGGGAGAGGGACTCGACGTTTGAGCGGGGGGTTTGTGGAGGTCGCGTCTGATGTGGATTTGGGGCAGGGGGGAGGGTTCCGCGTGGGCGTCCGGGTAGTCCTCTTGGCCCGGGTCGATTTCCGGGTCTTCGTCGAGGTCGTCGAGATCGTCGTCGTCGTCGTCTTCGAGGTCGAAGGGTTTGTCGAGCGGAGGGCGCATCGAGTAGGCGGTGGAGGACGAGCAAGGTTCGTGGCACCTGGAAGGAGATGCGCGGATAGGTTAGAGAGATAGATTGATATACAGGGCGATTCATTAAGAATGGGAAATCTCTGAACTACAGATATAGTCCAGTAACTTTGTCGCCTGAACATATGGGGGTAGTATGCGTCAAATCCGGTAGTTCTGATTTTTTGCCGACTTGTTCATGATTTTGGCCTAATGAATGATCCAAGTTTGTGACCTCGAGCACCGAACGTAACTTTGTCAAAAATCGAAAAAACCGCGAAAAAATCGTAATTTTTTCAAATTTTGGCGATTATATCCCTGAAGGACTAATTTTTGAAAAAAAATCTCTCAGAACGTTTTTGAAGCAGATCAAATTTGCTACAATATAATACAAAAACTGTCTCTGTAGACCCAATAGTTTTCGAGATTAAGCCTTTCAAAGTTTATAATTTTTTCCGAATTTCGCAATTTTTTGCTATGTTTTAGGCGTCACTCGAATATACTCTAGCGGGATGAAGTTTCAATTACCTCCGACGGAGTGTGCTAGTACTGTTCGTGTGAAGTCACGAATGCGACCCACCTATAGCACGTTTTCAAACTTTTTAGGCAATCTAAACCACGGGACTTTTCAGCTGGCAAGATGGCGCCTGGTTGTAGGACCATCACATATAATGAGTATTGGTTTTCTCTCAGGTACCTGCTACACATCCTTTGATTTCTCATGATTGATTCTGTTGTTAGATCCTTTCTCTTGATGGCTGCTATCCACATTTCTCTTCTTATTCTTGATAGATCTTTAATCTGTGGATAATGCACAGAGTTTTTCACAGAATCACAGTAGGAATGTGAAAAAACTAGGCAAATTTTCCCGATCTTTCGGTTTCCACTATCCACCACAATACACTTTACCCGCATTTTTTCTTTAAAATCATATTCACCATCCCCTGATAGGAATATGCCATCCCAATACGCCGATCCAGATCCAGACGAACCTCAACCGGGACCTTCCAAGAGGGCTGAATTAATCTAATTTTTTGATCTTTAATATTACTCTATTTCTTAACAAATAGACTCATTAACTTTTGTTGTACTTATCTTTTTTATCTCATTATTCGTACCTCAGCTTAAACATCCTTGTTCACACTCCTTATTTTCTTTCTTATCATCTCATCATGAACGTACAGGGCTTCGATTGTATAATCAGGGTCAAAATTCAATCAGAACGACAGGATTGCAAAAAATTGTGAAGTTCGAAAACAATGATAAACTTCTCAAGGCTCAATCTCGGAAACTAATGAGTCTACAAAGACAGTTTTTAGATCATATTGTAGCAAATTTGGTCTACTTTAAAAACGTCTAAAAGAGTTTTTTCAAAAACTAGTCCTTTAGGGTCACAATCGCCAAAAACTGAAAAAAAAACAACGATGTTAGTTTATGAATTTTTCTTCACTGGGCCAGTCTACATCGTCGCCCCTAGCACACTTCCAAAACTCCCAACCAGACTCCCTCCCTAGTACGTAACTTACAAAATAAACCGCCATCATCATCTCCCCATTATATCTGCTATAGCGAATCGCAGTTTTTTCGATTATGGCCAAAGTTGCGTTCGGCACTCAAGGTCACAAACTTGAATTATTCATTAGGTCAACATCATGAACAAGTCTGCATAAAATCAGAACTACCGGATTTGATGCATACTGTGATGTATAAAGTTACTGGATTAATAGTAAACACAAAATAATGAGATTTAGCCCAAAATGTCTGATGAGAATGTTGCTGGTTTAGGAGATTCTAGGGGGAAGATTTCATTTCGGAATTTCACAATAACTTTGGTAGTTTTTGCAACTTATTTTGTGATTGCTCGTAGAGGGCGCTAGTGGCACTCTGTTACTTCGATAATTTACATCATATCTTCTATGTCAATTCATTGATGATCAAAATAAGTAGAAAATGTGAAAGCTTGTTTCGTTTCGAAGATCGAATTTGCAAACTTTATCTTCATTATTTTCAGATATTTACCTTGGCCCGGAACTCTTGTTTTTTATCAGACGCCATAATGTGTTATTCATACCATTGGATTGGACTTTCAAAAAGAACCAGACAGAAAAAAACTGATGTGGGTGCCTGAGGGTCGCTTCCTCGGTCGCTTCTCATGCAAAACTCAAACCGCATATCGATATCTGTCTTCGTTTCGGAGTTACAAGGTGTTCTTCGAAAATGTTTTAGAAAAGTGGCTACAGATATTTTTTTTGGCAAAAATTATCTGTTCTTATGAAAATAACTGCACAGCACAGAGTTGGTGATGAAAATTCTTCTTGAGGTACTGAAATCGACCTTCCTATATCTTGTTCAAGAATATAACTTGTTCTTCTTGAAGGAAAAGTTCTATTTTGAAACTAGGTATATCGTGACTGATTTCAGTGCCTGAGGTTCAATTTTCATGACAAACACAAAGCTTTGAAAATGTTTTAATGGAAACGAAGAATTTTTTACTAAAAAATGAGTTTCAGCCACTTTTCGAAAATTCATATTTTCGAAAAACACCTTGTTACTCTGAAACGAAGATAGATACCAATATGCAGTTTTCACCATTGAGTTTTTGATGTGAATTGATCAACAGACACCAACATCAGTTGTATTTCTACCTAGTACTGGAATATAGGACTATCTTTAAAAGTGTCCAATTTGGCCCATACCCTGTACATACATCATATCGACATTATCACATGAGAACAATTTCTTGCTGTTCATCACTGCTTAAAATTGAACTGCCCTACATTTTCAAAAAATGTGGTAGGCCATAATGATAAGCAGTGACGGCTCGTGCCCTCAGAACCTGGGTCGGCCAGGGTATAGATATTGCTCTAAAATGCGAACGTAAGTGGGTCAGCGGCTTGAGTGAAGTTCGATGGCAAATAAGCATGTACAGGGTGATTCACCATAATTGTCCTTTCTCCCTCTAGCTCACTTATTTTTGACCCGATTTAAAAATTTGAAGGATGATCTAAAATGATTTCTCAGAATTTTTTTCCCGTTGCATCAGGAAATACAGGGTGCTCGGAACGAATGATCTACAGGGTACTACTCGATTTTTCCAATTCGAACACCCTGTATTTCATTGTATTTTTAGATTCTTTCTGAAGAGCTGATTTCATCAATGCATCACACTTGGGGTCTAGCGGGAATGATAACAGAGATATAGGGTGTTCAAAATCGAGATTTTTCAAGTTTAGGATTTTTTTGTCTCGAAACTATTCATTATTGGTCGAAACGGCTCCTATGTTTCCATCTTAATTTTTGATTAACTGTCTATTGAGATTTGATTGGAACATTTACAGGGTGGTTCAAGATTCAGAATTCTGATCACCCTGTATCTGTTCCAATTATTAAATGTCAGTAGATTGTAAATCAAAAGTTGAGATATGGACATGAAAGCCGTTTTGACCGATGATGAATAGTTTCGTCTCAAAAAAATCCTAAAGTTGAAAAATCTCGATTTTGAACACCCTATATCTCTGTAATCATTCCCGATAGACCCCATGTGTGATACATTGAGCAAATCAGCTTTCCAGGGAGAATCTAAAAATACAATGAAAAATAGGGTGTTCTATATAAAAAAATCAAATGGTACCCTGTAGATCGTTTGTTCTGAGCACCCTGTATTTTCTGATGTAGCGGAAAAAAACTCAATCAAAAATCATTCAAGATGATATTTCAAATTTTGAAATCGGTTTAAAAATAATTGAGCTAGAGGGAGGGACATTTATGGTGAATCACCCTGTACACATAACCAAAAAATTAAATTGTCCAGCAAGAACCACGAGGTTAGAGCATTCTCGCCAGGGGAAATGGGGAAAGAAAAAGGAGGTGGATAAGGGTTAGTTGGTATGAAAAACAACAACAAGAAAGTCGAAAAAATAAAATGAAAGAAAATGAAAATAAAATAACTCGTGAACAAAAAATATTTATATTCTGTTGAAAACGTAATGTAAACTCAAAAAAATCAACATAACCGACAACCACTCACCTAACGCGAGAAGCACAACAATGATTAAATCGGTCTACCAGGTCTACGCTCTACGCCGTTCCTGTAACAAGCCACCCCACTCCTTCGTAGTCGGCTGGCCGAGCCCGCGTGCAGGGTGCAGCCGTAGGTATAATGTTTCCCGCGATGCGATGGATGCATAAATATTATTTATTTAGTTTATAACCGCTACATGCGTCTTTGAAAATAAATGATATTCTGGAAGTTATACATTTATTACATTTTCGTCACCAGAGCTTTTTTACGATGTTTCAATGCCTACTCAGCTCTTGGACTGCTGACATTTTTCTTGCCATATTACCTACATAGGCAGAGGCACAGTAGGTTACATTACAGCAATATTCAAATTGAATTATAACTTATTGACGCTCAGAAGCACTGAAGGAAAATTCTGATACCAATATTAGATGGATATGTTGAATTATGAATTACTGAAAAATTGCAAATTCAAAAATCACCAGTCATTTTTACTGGAACTACTGCAAGCGTAAACAAAAACATGGAAATTATTTTTCTTTTCAGTTTGTACATTTCAAATTCCAACATCAACTTACAAATAAGTATAGGAATTAAAATTATAAATACCTACAATGTAAAATGAAAATAGAATGTCAATCATGCCAATCCGTATATTAAAAATTAGGTCGGAATGGTTCGATACGTTGGACGGCCAGCAGAGCTTGGCCGCACCCAAGGTATGACGCGTATAAGCGAAAATTTAAACTTGAAGCGGGGAATCTGTAGGCGATGCCTGTGGCGATGCGTCGAGACATGAAATCACCGATCGGCCGGCCGTCTGCATCAGTGTAATGAGCTACGCGAGCGTTTCGACTGAAAGCGGCGTTTTGACGATGGGATTACCAGATGTCGTAGGTCCTGAATTAGTTCGTGATTTTCGGTGTATAAGCGGATGGCATACTCAAAGGTTCCATGAATGAAATTCAAATAATAGTGGCATAACAGTAGGATAATGAGCGATGAATTAT